AAGACCGTTTTGCCGCCTGTCGAACTCGCAACTATAATACTTCTAAATGGTAATTTTGGCACGTGCTCATATTTGGATTGTTTGAATTCATATTCAGTTATGTTTATTGGTTTTATTATTGGGACATCTGTCATAGTTGATATTAAAGAAATATAGAAAATTATATTTAAAAATTAACTTGTAATTAATATTAAATGGAACATCATTTTTATGATATGCTGGTGGCGAATATCATAAAATGGAACAGGTTTCCATTGCTTCAATCAGTAAGCATTGAAGCTAATTAGTTTGAAGAATTGAAATGAAAACCCCATTGCTGAGCCCCGAATATTCTAATAATAAGATTAAATAATTATTTCATCTTATTATTTTATATGGATAGGACTTATTCAGATTATATTGATATAATAGATGAAGTAGAGAAAATAGAACAAGTTGTAATAACTGACAATAAAATTAAAAAATGTTGTTATTATTCGTTAGAATTAATTAAGCTTATTTTTGAATATATCAAAAATAAAAATGTAAATATTAATATAAATGGGAAGAAAGAAAAACAAAAAGAATAAGACAGAAACAACGGTTTCATCAGCAGATGAAGACAGTGAAGAAGTTATTAATAAAACAGCAGTTATTGAGTTTGCTTGTCCAATGTGTCAAAAGATGTTAGAAATGAAAAACGAATTAGAAATACAAAAGAAGGGAAATTGTAAATGCTCGTGTGTCCCTGTCGGCTTCAAAATTAGTAAGAAGGATAAGAAAATGAATATTGATAAATCCAAAGACAGTATCAACTTGGAGACAGATGCTCATAATATTACATTTAAATGGGGAAGACAAGCAACACCATCCGATAATGGAGAAAACGAAACACAGGAAACCATACGAGAAATGATGAAATCTACTTAAACATTAAAAAACATTAATTAACAGTATGGAGAGTAGTAAAAACACAAAAAACTATCATAGTGGTAAAATATACTGCATTAGAAATTATATAACAGACGATATATATGTTGGTAGCACTTGTCAAAGTCTAAGTCGTAGAATGACAGAACATAGGAAGCTCTTTAAACGAGGGTCTCATCTTCATTTACCTATATATGAACTTATGTTGAAACACGGATATGAACAGTTCTATATAGAACTGTTAGAAGAATGCCCTTGTGAGAACAGAAGCCAACTAGACAAAAGAGAAGGGGAACTGATACGAGAACTAAAACCAATGTTGAACAAGAATATCGCAGGAAGAACCCCAAAGGAATGGCGTGAAGCAAATATTGAAAAATTACAACAACGAGACAGAGATAGGTATATTAAAAACCAAGAACAGTTTATAGAGTATTCACGGAAATATAGGGAAGAGCATAAGGAAGAAGTAAAAGAAAGAGACAAAGAATATTCAAAAAAGTATAGACACAAATACCCCGAAAAGGTGAAAGAGCAGTCACAAAAATACCGAGAAGCACACAGAGAGGAAAAGAATATGAAACAAAGAGAGTTATACCATAGAAAGAAAGAACAACAACATATCACCCCATCCGATAATGGTGAAAACGAAACACAGGAAACCATAAGAGAAATGATGAAACAATAATATATAAAGAGTAGATTTAACACCACGTTAAACGCATAAATAAATAAATAAATAAATAAATATATATAAATATATATGTCAGATAGTGATAATGTGTCATTAAGTGAGTTGATAAAGAAGGTAAATATGTTGAATAAGAATATCAAGGCATTAACAGATTTAACAACAACAATTGATGAAAAGTTTCAAGCCAAGATAGCAGATAATGTTGATGAGAAGGAGAAGATTGATAAGATTTTTGAAAGCCGTGGGCTGGGTAGGCCGAAGGGCGACCATCAAAGCAAAAGACAATCTTATTTTGAAATGGTGTCAAAAGGGCGTATTAAGCAACCAAGAGAACAAACATTAGAATATTATAAAATCAGGAAAGATGAAAACGGTGAATATTCCTTAGATTAATTTCTAAATAATTCTAATAATATGAATTTATTAGAATTATTCTCAGGCAGTGGAAGTGTTGGAACGATTGCGAGGTCGCTAGGTTTTAATGTAATTTCGTTGGACTTGAAGAATGCTAACATCAATACTGATATTTTGAAATGGAATTACAAAGAGTTTGACAAAGGGCATTTCAATTTTATTTGGGCTTCTCCACCTTGCACGGAATACAGTAGAGCAAAAACGACAGGAATAAGGAAAATTGAATATGCTAATAGCATTGTATTAAAAACCATTGAAATAATAGATTACTTTAAACCTGAATACTGGGTGATTGAAAACCCTCAAACTGGATTGTTGAAGATGCAACCTTTTATGAGTGGTTTGAAATACAATGATGTTGATTATTGTAAATATGGATTTAATTACAGGAAACGAACTAGACTGTGGAATAACATTACTAATTGGAAACCTAGAGATTTATGTAAAAAGGACTGTGGAAAAATCAGGAATAATAAACATATTGAAACAGCACAACGACTACCAAATGGAAACAGGGAAATTTGGGGTGAGGATTATGTAAAACATAAACAGGAAGACCTTTACAAAATACCTAGTGAGTTGATTTGTGAAATCTTGGTTAGTTTGACAGAGTAAGTATTATTTCCATTTTTGAGCTGGTTTATTTCTGGTTATGAAATGTTTGTTGCTGTTTCTGAAATGGAGACAAAATTGAAATGTTTTGTTGCGTTTCCTGAAATGTATTTTCCTTCTAAAAATGACCAACTTACGAGGTATTTCAATTTCTGAAATGGTTTGATGCTGTTTCGGAAATGGTTTGATGCTGTTTCGGAAATGGTTTGATGCTGTTTCGGAAATGGTTTGATGCTGTTTCGGAAATGGTTTGATGTTGTTTCGGATTTTGTTGGTGCTATTTCGGATTTCGTTGGTGCTATTTCGGATTTCGTTGGTGCTATTTCGGATTTCGTTGGTGCTACTACTGGGGGGCTGTTCTTGTTTGAGGTTTTGCTTATGCTCTTTGAAAAGGAGCGTTGGAATGTTTCGTTGGTTGGTTGTTTTGGAATGTTCTGTGTTCTGTTCCTTGTTCGGTTTTTGGTTATGTTCTTTGTTGTTGGGGGTTTTTGGATAAGGGGATAGGTTTGATTTATCAAACCTCTTAGGCAACTTCGTTGCCTGAACCTTCAACCTATCTGAGTAAGCATTTTGCCTAAAAACGGTTTAAAGGGTTGGTGGCTTATTATATTAGAAGATTATGGATAAGAAACATTGCTCGGGTTGTCAAAGAGATAAGAATTACAATTTATTTTCAAATAATTGTAAAACTTGTGATAAATGCCGTGAAAAGCAAAGAAGGAAGTCAGAAATAAAGAAATTGAAAAGAGAAGCGATTAAGAAAGAAACAGTAGCAGATGAAGGGGAAAAACAATGTTGTTCTCATTGCCGAGTTCATAGAAAGATTGAATTATTTTCAGATAATCATAAAACTTGTGATAAGTGCCGAGACAAGCAAATAGTATATTCAAAAACATACCGAGACAACCATAAGGAAGAAATACGAGAAATAAACAAAGAATACGGACAGAGAGAATATCATTGTTCTGTATGTGATTGTGAGATTAAATTAAAGCACAAGGCACGGCACGAACGAGCAAGGAAGCACATAGAAAATTTAGAAAAGAATGAGGTTAAGGATGTTTGAAATGGTTTAAGTTATTCTATAAAATGAATAACTCAAAGCATTTTGATTATGAGGTTGGTTAGGCGCGTGTTATGAAACTTATATGGGTTTTGATATGGGTGATTGGTATGAAATTTTATAAAATCTTGGGGGGCGGGTCTGGCTGATGGGGTAGGAAAGAGGGTTGTAGGCCTCCTGCTTGCTTCACCCCCGCCCGACTTCGTGTGGCACCGGAGGCTGAGCCCTAAACAGTGGGGCTTAGTCCATCGGCTCCGGCGGCTCCTGGGCGATTGGCGTGATGCCCCAGCAGTGACCGCCCAGGACATGGGGCGATCGGCCTCAAAGTTTGAAACCGTTGAATTCAGCGTGGAAGCCTTGCGCCGAGCAGCATGCGGCACACGACTCGCCGGCACATACGCTCGCCATGGAGTCAGTGCCGAACCCCAAAGCGCCCCTAAAGTGAGGCCCTTGGTCGGTCAAGCACCAGCCGCCCAGGTTGCAACGCCCATTCGCACAGACCGCCTTGCCTTCTCTGGGCGGCCCAGTCTTGACCCATCACCATACCTTGGAGGTCCGTCTTTGGAGATGTACCAGCGCCCACTTGACTTTGCAGTAAAGCCCGAGTTGTCAACAGAGCCTCTCGTGCGGACCCGTGTGCATTGTGATAGGCCCGAAGCCTTGCGTCTGTTGCATCTCCTTGATTCCTCCGACCGCCTGTCATTGGTGGACGCACGTGAAGCCAGGATGTCCCACCGTTCAGGTCTGTTTGCAGTTACTAAGAGCTTGGAGAGGGACCGCCTGATTTTGGACGCCCGTGGTCCAAATTCCCTTGAGCCCGGTCTCAATACCTGGACAAACACCCTAGGCTCCTTCTACCCACTGTTGTACCTTGAACTGCCGGCCGATCGTGACATCCGGGTCTCAGGCGAAGACTTGACCGATTATTACTATTTTTATAGGATCGGTGCCCAACGCAAATGTCGGAACTCCCTAGCCATTACCCTTTCCTTAGCCGAGGCCAGGAAGTTCCGTTGTTGGGATAAGTCGCTTGAAGGTGCAACCGCAGTGGTCCCCTGTTTAGCAACGATGGCGATGGGGGATCTAAATTCAGTAGAGTTTGGACAGGAAGCCCACGCTAAGCTAGCAATTGCTCATGGCCTAGCCACTCGGGGTAGTCTGGTCACTATGCACGGGGTTTGGCCGAGGGGGGAGCATGCAGTCGGCATCGTTATAGACGATTTGGTTCTGTTTGAATTAACCCTTCGGCAGCCGAGCCCGTTCTCCCCTCTGCCCCAGCCCAGCCGTGCAGCCATCCTTGCAGACGTTATGACCGAGATTTATTCCGCTGTGGGCCTCAGTCGCAACGCAAAGAAAGCTTTCAGGGACGAGCTAAAAGGCTCTTTCTGGGGAGCGTCGCTTTGTGGCAGCAGTGGCCTTATCCGTGCTCAGCTTAGTCGTGTGCTGCCCCTCGTATCGGTCACGGCCCGAGTTGCATCGATCGGTTGGGCTAATAGGGAGTTGATGGAGATCCTGGGTGGGTCTTGGACGGCCGTTTTCCAATTCAGGCGGCGACTCATGGCCTTGCTTGATGAAGTGTTTAGCTGCATCCATTCCCACAGGTACGGTGTGCCTTTCGCCTTGACTCCGAGCATGGTGGACGAGTTGTGGACTTGGGTAGTGCTTGCCCCTTTAGCTTGTAGTGACTTGAGGGCCAGTAGCCTCCCGGAGTTTGTAGCCGTTGATGCCTCGGACCAAGCCATTGCAGTTGTGTCGTCCACCATTGGCATTGAGCTTGCCAGGGAGATGCCCCGGCATGCATTGCGGCGCCCTGCGTGGACAAGGCTGCTCTCCCCAGCCCGCGCTTGGGAGCGGTCAAAAGGCCTGCTCCTTCCCAGCGAAGAGCTACCTGATGGAGTTGTGTACCGTAGCCATCCACTTTGGAGTGCCGTAGCAGAGCATTGTCCCTTTCAAGAGCAAACTTGTGTTAGGACCAGACCAGGGGCCCACATAAATGTAAGCGAACTAAAGGGAGTCCTTCTTGCAGAGGAGCGGCGGAGCAGGGAGTCGCCAAACACTCGGCTCCTTGTTGGGTCAGATTCGCAAGTGGTGTTAGGTGCCGTCATCAAGGGCCGCTCGGCATCGGCCTGCATCAATCGTGAGATGCGCCGACACTTGCCTGCTCTTCTTGGTGGTAATGTGTACTCATTTTTTAACTATCTACCCACTGCCCTGAATCCAGCTGACGACCCGACGCGGGGCCGGAGTGTGCGACCCTCTAAGCCTTTGCCCCCAAAGTGGTTCCAATTGGCTCTAAGCGGGGACTTTGAGGAGCTCGACCATTTTCTCAGGGAGCAGCGTCTGGACCCCCCCTCACTTGCTAAGGTCCCCCTGTTTGCAGGGAAGGACGTTCCGGCACTGCCCTCTGAAAGTCGCAGGAACGCTCGACGCCAGGAGTTCAGCCTCAGCACAAAGCGGCGCTGCGCCGGCCCGAGCCCTGTAAAGCAGCCCCTACCCGAACATAAATACAGCTGCCTTCTAACTCCGGACGCCCGCAATCTCGTCGAAACCATTCCGGCCGACCAGTTTGTGTTCCCGAGGGGCCGGAGTCGTGCCGATGTGTTTCACCGTCAGGGGCACTTGGATTTGTTTTCGGGTTGGAGGGGGGGCGCTACCGCACTTGCCGACACATCGCAGTGCTGGGTGCTGTGCTTTGACTTGAAGCATTCACCAAAGGAGGACCTTAGTGACCCTAGAGTGCAGCTTTTCCTGCAGCGGCTTTTGCAGAGCGGTCTCTTCCTTTCCGTCTCCGCTGCTCCCGTGTGTGCAAGTTTTTCACGCGCAGTGAGGCCTGCGGTTAGATCCCGGGCCTCCCCTTACGGTTTCAGTGGCGTGAGCAGTAACATGCAAGCCAAGGTAAAGCTTGGCAATCAGCTGGCAGTGTGGGTCGCCGCATTCATGACACAAGCCTTGCACCTGGGTATTGTTTTCTGGGTTGAGAATCCCTGGCTCAGCTTCATGTGGGATTTGCACGAGTTTCAGCAGCTGGCTTGTTCCGCCAGCGTTGGTTGGTTCACGGTGGACCAGTGTAGGTTCTCGACCCCTTGGCGGAAGCGGACCCGGTTCCTTACAAGCTGTGCCCTTAGGGACACTCGTACCCTGTGCCAGTGTAAGGGTCCCCACATCCACCTTAAAGGGTACTGCAAAGCTAGGCGCTGTGCTTGGACCAAGCTTGCCGAGGCCTACCCCGCCGGGTTGTGCAAATCACTAGCCCGGGGGGTCCATCTCAGCCTAGTGCAATCCAGCGGCACAAGCAATGCCGCAGCCAGTGTGGCCTGTTCTGGGTCGGAGGCTAACCATATAGGCGAGGCTAAAAACCCCGGACCCCCTTTGTCTACTCAGGGAGGGTTGGAGGATGTACAGCTAGTAACCCCCGCCACAGCCAGACTACAAAGCCGCGTTGTGAGTGCTTTTGAGGATTGGCTTGCAGCAGAGCTTAGTGCCCCTTGTGTGCAAGCCGCCCGGTTGTGCCCCGTGCTTCTTTGCCATATCTTGAGAGCATACGGTAATCACTTGTTCTGTGTTAATAAGCCCGCGTACTTGTACCGCCATTTGCTCGCTTTTTACCAAAAGAATGCATTGCACCTTCGCCCATATTTGCCTTTAGCTTGGGATTTGCTTACCCGTTGGGAGCGAGTCAATCCGGTGCGCCACCGCACCCCGTTGGCTAAGCCTGTCCTGGATGCAATGCTCAGCACTGGTTTTGGGTGGGGCTGGGTACGATGGGCCGCCTTGACCCTTGCTTTCTTTGGCCTTATGAGACCCGGTGAGCCATTGGCCGGGTGAAGGCAGGACCTGCTGTTGCCCACGGACTTGCTCTCTTTCGACAAGCCGATCCTTTTCTTCAGGATTGAAAAGGCGAAGACTCGGCACCGTGGGGGGGGCCTCATTCAGCATTCCAAAATAACCTCAGGTGTTTGTGTACAGTTGTGTGAGCTGGCTTTTTCGGACTTAGAGCCAACCTCTTTGTTGTACCCCGCTTCGGCGGCCACCTACAGGCGAAGGTGGGATGCTATACTTGAAGCCCTGCTTATCCCTAAGAGCGCTTCCCTCACCCCAGGCGGGTTACGTGGTGGTGGAGCTGTGCATGCCTACCACTCGGGCATGCCTCTCGTTGACCTGCTGTGGTCCATGAGACTGCGACACCTCCAGACTTTAGAGCATTACCTCCAAGAGGTTGCAGCCGAGAATTCTCTCCTGAAGCTATCCCAGCCATCCCGTTCCCGTGTTGTCGGCCATAGAGTGACCTTCCGCCGCTCCAGGACGGAAGCGCGCCACCTTTCCAAGCTGCTGCGGCTTCAGGCATTTGTGGTAGCTCTTACGCAGGCACTTCTTGGGCCGCCTGGCCATGCTGCACTTGGCAGTCACTGCCTCTGTGTGCATCAGGGCCCTCCATGGACCATCGTGCCTTGTGCTACTACGGTGAGTGGCACGCGGTGCCCCTCTTCTCACCTGTCTGACAGACCTGGCTGTCGCTGAGGAAAATGCGTGCCAGCGCCGCGCCGGCCATGCATGTCCTTGCATGCATGATCAAGCCAGCACACGCAGTTTGGCTGCCCGCCCATCCCGCCCAATGTAGCTCTTACGCAGGCACTTCTTGGGCCGCCTGGCCATGCTGCACTTGGCAGTCACTGCCTCTGTGTGCATCAGGGCCCTCCATGGACCATCGTGCCTTGTGCTACTACGGTGAGTGGCACGCGGTGCCCCTCTTCTCACCTGTCTGACAGACCTGGCTGTCGCTGAGGAAAATGCGTGCCAGCGCCGCGCCGGCCATGCATGTATTTAATTATTGGGGGGAGGGGGCAAAAATTATATAGCATCCTTGAAAGGATATCCCCAACACAGGCGGACCTTGGGCGGCACAAGGATCCCTTTAAAGTGGCCATATTTGTACTCCCCCTCCCCCGCCATATAGCCAAGCATCACGGAACGCAAAGACGATTTCTCCCCTTTGTGCGCTCTGCGGGTTCCATGTTCTACCCAACCTACCCTTCCATGGAAGCTGTTAGGCTGCCTAAGAGGGGAGTAATATTTCAAGAAGGGGCGAAGGTGCACTTCCAAGTTTGTGGCAGGGTTCACAATGACAAAACCTGATTCTCTGATGGAATGAAATCTTTTGCAAGTCTCCCGGAACTGCATAGTGATTTGGGCCCTAGCCCTCCTTCTCTCATCCCTCTCTGATCCCAGAGCGGGGTATACGAGAGAAAGACAGGGGATTCAGAAGGAATTGGTTGGTCAGACAGATTCTGATCAACCCATCAAAAGGTGAGCCAAGCCTCCGGATTCTTTCTCCACTCCTATCTCTCTCCATCCAATAGACTAGATTATAGATGGAGGAGACATCAGGAAGAGATGAAATGATGGAAAGACAAGATATAGATAGGAATGCAAAGACATGCTTATAGATAAAATTCCAGACGTAACAACTAATACCAAGACACCAAGGCTACAGCGCTGACTTTTGGTTTGACGCTGACAGAACTCTTCCAACAGCTTGGAGGGACCTTCGTTTGCAGGTGTAGTCTCTCGCGTGCGGTCTTGGATATCTTAATGATCGAGTCGGCATTCATATGGCAATTTCGACCCCAAGTTGAACCTGGTTGTTCCGCCAAAGTGATCCGCATCCCCCTCTCAACAGGGAGACCCCACTATTCAATAACCAGGGGTTGATCGGTCCTGATTTCCATTTGGGTGTGTCCTTTTTTTGGGGACCCCCAAAATGGGTTTGGTTTTCCTTTAAAACCTCCGAAACCTTGGTACCCCCAAAAAAGACACCCATTTAGCGCCAGAGCGAGAGTCTGAAGCCATCGTTTGACACTTGCGAGGAGGGCGAAGGAGAAGGTGAAGGAGGTGAGGGTGGAGCCGCCAAGAAGAAGAAGAAAAAGAAGAAGGCGGGGCAGCCACGTCTGGGTTTTCAGAATTGTAAGTCTGCATATGTCTGCATTGAGTTAATCAACACATGGAACTCTCGGCGGTGTTGCCATGGAACTTTGTGGGGTTTCTATTTGGCAAAATGACGCCCTAAAACGCGACACCACAGTACTTCAAAGAAGGCGCCACCAGTAGGTATACGTGCTTTTTGTTGATGTTGTTCGAGAATTCAAGGGTGGTGCAGGAATTTGTCCATCCATTCTATGTGTCATCCATAGCGAGGGATGAAAATCGGGCCAAAGGGATGTGCAGGCACAAAGGGATTGGATGAGCTAATAGGCACCAGACCCTGGCGATTCCATATTAATCTGAAGAGTCATGCCTGATTCTTGAGCCTCCCTGCCCCTTTCGCTTCACCAAGAGATTCTTGCATGTGATTGGATGTGAACGGATTTTGATCAACACCGGTCCAACACCGGTCTCGCGACAATGGATTTAAGATGTTGCATGTAAGCATATGCAAGCAAGGCACGCCTGTGTGAGCTCGGTAAAGCAGTCCCGATGGCACAACTTCAACTTGCTTAAGGCATCCCTGTTGGCTTTTGAAGCGAAATTGTTATGCCTCAATTGCTGAGACATATTTGTTGTTTGGTGACACCTTGTGTACATGGATCGACACCGCCCACTTCTTCTACACATCGCCGTTCAAGAAGAATGTCGATTGACACGATGGAAAGCAAAGGGGTAGCTGATTTTCTTCCAACACTGGATCAAGTGACAGCATCACTGCTATGTAGCTGCTCATGAATTTGGGGGACGAGTTGCATATTGTCTTTGCGGGTCGGGCGCCTTGACAGTATCTGACAAAGAGAACATGTCTAAGCCACTTCGAGGCGACTCCAGAAGAAAACCAACTCCAACACAGTTTGCACCAGTGGGGACTTGCAGCACGCCGAATGTTCGGCGGTCCTTGGCTCACAGTAGCCAGGCTGATAGACAGGTACACCCGCAGACACACACACAGCCAGCGCTGAAAACAAGACAAGCACAAGCCCTTCGTACAACTCACAGCCACCAAACGAATTGACAGACGCTGTCGATGCAAACCTTCAGACACGTTCAACCTGACAGAGCTTGCACACATGGTGAAACATGAGCACATGTCCATGTTACGAAGAATGTCAGCCAAACCCTTATTTTGCAGTATGGGGGGTGTCCCTGGTTTTAGTGGGGGTTCATCACTTTTGGAGGAGACCATTGTCAATAAGCTGGGGTTTGCTAATCCGGGTCAACATTGCTCCCTCTCGCAGGGGCCGACCTATCAATGTGGAGGGTCCCTTGCGGGCAGCCCGAAATCGCGCTTTGCCGGTTTGCGGATGCTGCCTTTTGCTTGCCTCGACCCAGCAGATGCGGACGAGGCGGGCGAGGCATGTAAGGTTTGAAGTCGCAGATTCGTTCTATGGTCTGTTTGAGATTCGGGCTCATAAACATTAGGGGATTGCCCATGTCCCACAGCACATTTGGACCGTGGCTACTGCATTGACTTGCCTGTGCGAAGAAATGCCTTGGCGTTGAAAGATGATGTACCTAGGGCAAAGTTCCCTCCATGACGAATTGATCACTCAAGGATCACGGGGAGATAATGTCAACACTGGAAATCCCGGCAATACCAAGGGGTGGCTTCTCTTGGAATGAATTCTTTCAGGAGGGGTATTTATTTTAGGATGTTTTTTTCGTTTTTTTTTTTTTGGATTTTTTTTTTCGCTTTTGGCTTCTTGGCTTCTTGGCTTCTTGGCTTTTCGGCTTCTTGGCTTCTTGGCTTCTCGGCTTCTTGGCTTTTCGGCTTCTTGGCTTCTCGGCTTCTGGGCTTCTAGGCATTTCGGCTTTTTGCTGGTTTATGCGGCGTTTGGTGGCTTTTTGGCTTTTCGCATCCTCTGCATTCCCAGTTCCTCTTCGGCAGGTGGCGTTTTTCCGACATCATGGGGGGGGGCTGCCGCCCCCCAACCCCCCCGCTACGTTTTAGATTTTCTGCAGAGATTTAATTAGTTGCACCCCTAGTTGAATCATCAATTCTTCCAACATCATGGGGGGGTTGCACCCCTAGTTGAATCATCAATTCTTCGACCATCATGGGGGGGGGCTGCCGCCCCCCCCCAACCCCCCTGCTACTTTTTAGACTTTTTGCAGAGATTTAATTGCACCCCTATTCAAATCATCACTTCTGCAAACAACATCGTGGGGGGGGCTGCCAACCCCCCCGCTACTTTTTATTTTTTTTTACAGGGATTGACATGCCCTCCTACTTGAATCATCATTTCTTTGACCCCGTCACACGATTTGTGGGTGATGCTAGGGATGTTGGTGGGACATGCGGGGTATATTTCGCAAGAACATGCTGTAAAATACGACACTTTACTGGCCCGGCAGAGATTGAATTGCACCCCTGTTTGAATCATCACTTTTTCGCGCGTCCAATTTTGCGAGAAAATGCTGCAAAATACGACACTTTAGGTAATCTGTGTAGTCCGTGTATGTCTGTATGTATGCATTTCTTCGAACATCATAGGGGAAGCCACCCCCGCCACCCGCTGCCTTGTAAATTGTATCACACCCTTTCTTGGATCATTGCACCCCTACTTGAATCACCACTTCTTCCGACATCATGGGGGGGCTGCCGCCCCCCCCCAACCCCCCCCCCCCCCGCTACGTTTAGATTTTCTACAGAGATTTAATTAATTGCACCCCTAGTTGAATCATCAATTCTTCGAACATCATGGGGGGGGCCCCCCAACCCCCCCGCTACTTTTTAGACTTTTTGCAGAGATTTAATTGCACCCCTATTCAAATCATCACTTCTGCAAACAACATCGTGGGGGGGGCTGCCAACCCCCCCGCTACTTTTTATATTTTTTTACAGGGATTGACATGCCGGGGTATATTTCGCGAGAACATGCTGTAAAATACGACACTTTACTGGCCCGGCAGAGATTGAATTGCACCCCTGTTTGAATCATCACTTTTTCGAGCGTCCAATTTCGCGAGAAAATGCTGCAAAATACGACATTTTAGGTAATCTGTGTAGTCCGTGTATGTCTGTATGTATGCATTTCTTCGAACATCATAGGGGAAGCCACCCCCGCCAACCCTCCCGCTGCCTTTTAAATTCTATCACACCCTTTCTTGGATCATTGCACCCCTACTTGAATCACCACTTCTTCCGACATCATGGGGGGGCTGCCGCCCCCCCCAACCCCCCCGCTACTTTTTAGACTTTTGGCAGAGATTTAATTGCACCCCTGTTCGAATCATCACTACCCTGCTCTGTTTTTCTTAATTGTTTTTTTGTATTTTTTTGCTGGGATTGAAATGCCCTCCTGTTTGAAGCATTATTGTTTTGACCCCGTCAACCCGCCAGCTACATTTTTGGATTTTGTTACCCACGATTTGTTGGTGATGCTAGGGATGTTGGTCGGACATGCGGGGGATGTTGAAAACGATGCTGGGGATGTTGACGAGCTAGTGTAAAGTCCGTCAATTTCGCGAGAAAATGCTCTAAAATACAACATTTTGCTGGCCCGGACGAAAAACGAAAAAAAATCAAAAAAAAAAGGAAAAAATCCCAAAATAAATCCGCAACCATTTTGAGTACCAGGCCCAGTAGCAGGGTTTTATCTATCCAAACTGGTGAAGGATTTGTCCGTCCCCAGTATGGTCCTCCGGATTAATTCGAAGTATTCGAAGCCACACTCCCTGGCCTCTTCGCAAAGTCGAACCTGCGAGTTGGAACGACGGTCGCACGAGTGGAATGAGCATCATGTATTGGAACGAATGCATGGGAACCCACCCCCCTCTGTTGCGTAGGTTGCATGTAAAGCCTCCGATGTACAGAAAGTCGGCCTTATTGTCACCCCCAAACATAGGGTTTCCATGAAGATCCTATGATAACAGGGTTGTAGGTTTTTCTGGTCCACAGGACATCGTCAGTCATTTCAGCCAATTTAAACCTAGGAAGTGCTGCCGAAACATGGCCCCAATATGGCCTTACTATGCTTACCTAGGCATACCAATGCGACCGAACCAAACCACCCGGAAAATCGGGCATAAAGTTCATCCAACCTCAAGTGTTGACCAGTTTTCCCTCAGGTGGCGCAATTTCAGGTAGATGCGTGTCTGAGCCAACATAGGGCTGGAATGTACCAAGTGAGCCCCACCTCCAGATCCCGGAGGCTCATTTTTAAGGAACCATCGGCCAACCAATTTGCGGTTCTTTTTCGTTTCTAGCGGGCGTCAGCCAGCAGCTTGACCAACATCTCGAGTCCACATTTGCACTACACATCTGGAATACTGCAAATTTGGACAGCTAGCCAAACTTGACAAAACAGGTGCCTGCGACATGTTCATCACAGCCCAAGCCCCCCGCCCGCAAAGCAAAATCCCCTTGGATGCTTCCAGGGTTAGGATGGATAGGGAACCCTTTTCATAACCAACAGCGTGGACAGGAGGAAGGTCCTATGAAGTGGCACGCGAGTCATAGGATCCAATCCTCTTCCCTAAGCCTCTTGTAAACCCCTCGTTTCCTCCGAGACCCTGAGGCCTTAGTACCCTCCCCACTAGCATAGCAGGGGTCAATTTTAAGAAGCCGATCGTCCAGGTACCGGAGGCACGTGCCTTCGGTTTGTCGGAAGCCACGACTTCTCGGGCCGAGGGCGTGGTGCTCGACGGCCAGTTGGCCAGCTGCGCTGCAGATGATGCCTGGCTGGGGGTGCGGGGCCGTCCTGGTGTGCTAAAAGGCCGGGGGGGGGGGGGGTTGGGCGCAGCGCTGGCAGGGACGGGGGCCGAGGGGGAGCGGGTGGGGGCTTAGGAATTTATTTTCTTGTTTTTACAGGGATGTTTTTTGGTTTTGTAAGGGTCTTGTCTTGTTGTATTTCTTTTTTTGGGCAGTGTTTCTTTTGGAGGATATGATGGACGCTATTGTTGCCAGGACTCTTTTTCAGGATGCTATTTGCATTGAAGGCGGGTTCTTGGCTGCAACACAGGCAAGACATGTGTGGACAGATGCATGACTATGTCTGGGACCTTTGAAAAGGCATTATTTTGTACATTGTAAGGGTCATACGCTCCGCCACGTAAAATTACCCTCCCTCCAACAATTGTAGAAGCTGACAGGACAGTGTGGGAAGACTACGATTCTTCTGGGGACCCTTTGGAAAGATTTGGAAAGAGGGTATGATGTAAGGTTTACACAATTTGGCCGGAGTCTGAACAATCACATGGACCAGCTCGCCGCAGGTGTTCCACACGAGGTGGGCCCTCCTGGAATTCAGCGTTATGAACTGAACACACTCCACATGCCCTCAAATGGCAGCGGTTTCCCTTAAAATGCGACCCGAAAGCGGGTCCGAGTCCATTTTGATCTTGAGAAACTCCCACATATGAATTTTGATTGGGCAACAGAGTAGGGGGGGAAGGGGCAGCTTTGGACGTCTCCCCAGACACCCTGTGGGTGGCAAATCCTTTTTCCTACTTTGGAAGGGGTTCTGCGGCCCCCCATCCCCCCATTGTTTTCTTCTGGGTTTTCCTGGAAGGAGCTCTGAGGGCATCCAGCGGCGGCTTTTTTAGGGGGAGACGTCTGCCACGATCAGCATGTCGTAGGGATCCAACCCCCCTCCCCTAACCCAAAGACCCTTATCAGGCGTGAAGGCCACCACTACACACCTTGAGGCCATATTATTCTGGCCTTAAGGTCTTGTTTGGAGGAAGCAAAGGTTGGATCCACGTCGCAAGAGCCTTCAGAGGATCCATTGAGGGCCATTTCGGGATTTGGACCCGTCTTGTCGTCTTGTTGAGGCAAATGAGAACCCACCCCCACTTTCCAACCTGCAAACCAATCCAACGCACAAAATGATGGAAGCTGATCGCAGGGAAGTACCAGTTCGAGGTGGAGCTGCAGAACCCGTGTCTGCTGCGTGTGGGCTGGGCGGCTTTGAACGGGCGCCGGGCCCTGGGCACGGACGAGCGCTCCTTCGGCTACGGGGGCACTGGAATGAAGTCCAACGCGGGGCGTTTCGAGCGCCTCGAGTTGAGTGGGAGATCGGGAGAGCGATTCCTCGGCCCAACTTTTTCACCCTCCATCGTCTCCCCCTTTTCTTCCATGTCCTGAATGTTTGTTGTTGTCTCCGGTTGGTTTTAAACAGAATGTATCACGACTGGGAATGCATTGTTGAGTTGGATGCTGTTGTTTTTTTTTCTCTGTGGCAAAAGCAGGCTGCAAGTACATTGCCCTTTTGGGGTTGGTTTCAAACCATCCATCACCTTGTGGCAGGTTGAGCCTTAACCCCAAAAAGGGATCAGCCTGAACGAATCAATGGGCAGCAGGGCCCCCTTTCCGGGATGCTCCTTTCAAGTTCTCTTCTTGATGTTCTTTTTGGTACTCGGAATCCAACAGCCAGCAGGTCGGTTGCAGAAACACAACCTGATTCGGGCGCTTGAAAGTCTGAAGCCAAAAGGGAGAAGTTCAACTCCTTGAACATGGTTACTATTGTTGTTTACCCCAATTTGAGAAAACGTCTATTTCTGCAGATCTGCAGATCTGGTTGTGTGTCAAAGCCGCCCCATTAAAGACATTTGATTTGGGATTCCGCATTTCCGTACAGGGGCGGGTAAGCCGGACATGAAGCCCCTAGTTGAGCGGGATTTGGGAGTTTCTCGCAATGCTGGACCCTTTTCGGTTGGTATTTTCAAGAGCACTAAAAGCAACCCCTTGCCTTTTTCGGGGGGCCTGACCCGCCATGTTTGCGGAGATGAACCCCTATTTGGAGCGACACCCAGTTGTGTCGCCCTGAGTCCACAGGAAGTACGGGGAGATCTTCGAGGCCCAGACAGGCGCGGTGGTGACCTGCCTTCTGGACCGCCAGGAGCCCAGGCGCCACAGCATCAGCGGCTTGGCGGAGCCTGGGTCGGCAGGTTGGGGGGTTCCCACTTCTGTGATATTCCTTCCGCTGGAGATTTGTTTTTCCTCAAGGCCTTCCAGGCCTTCCAGCTGTTTTTTTTGAAATTGATAGTATTTTCTCAGAAGTGGGATCCATTGGTAAGCAATGTCTGCCGTATTTGGAGCTGTCTGTTTCTCCGTGGGCCTTGAGATTTGTACCCCTCTTGTTCAAAGAGGTTTCAGTGCTGATTTTGGGGTTGGTATGAATCAGCACCTGGGCAACTCAGGTTGGCATTGAGTCCGTTGACCCAAGCAGGGCTGCCCAATACGACCTGCCCATTGACCTTGGGATTCCCAACAAGGGCTCTGGTTTTCGGTGTCTCGCTGTGTGTTTTTGAACACTGCTTTCGAACCTTTCTTTAAAGGGGCAAGCTGTTCTCCCATGCCTATGAAAAAGGGCAACCCCACTTCCCCTCAGAGAGACTCGCCTCCGAGGCTACTGCCTCAACGGCCGTGCCTTGGGGGTCGCCTTCCGCCTGCCGCCCTGGCTGGCGGAGGTGCCTCTGTACCCGGCGCTCTGCGGTCGCGAAGACTGGCAGGCCTGACATGTTGCGCATGGAGGCTTCCCGCCCAGTCCGGCCGAAACCTTTCCGTCCCCCCCCCAATCCATTTGGGCTCGTTATTTTGAGATCAAAGTGAGAAAATGGGGTTGCTTCCCTCAAACCCACCACTTGCGGGCTGACTTTGATGGTAAAACAATGGCGGCCCGCTGGTCCGTCGGAGGCGCTGTGCCGCTTCCGGGATCTGCGCTTCCCTCACGGGGGGTTTCGGGACCTGGACGAGGCCGGATGAAGATTGGGTGCAATGTCGGAATGCACCAAAATGGTCCAAGCGGAATCCAAAAACTGATGGGAGCTTCAAGTCGAAGTGTTTGTGGGATTGCTGCAGCTGGGTCTATACCCCCTATTTTGCCATGGTTGTGGAACAATTGGTTTGAGGTTGCCGAGTTGCTATCAAGGAACCGTTGGAAACCATCAAGTATGGGATGGCCAACTTTGGCTTCACGGAAAGGGTCATTTCTCACAATTGCGAACCTTAGTTCCGAGCGGGTGCTCCCGTGCCGTCCCACATGGAACACATTGAACCCGCGAGTCCGGGATTGATGGCCCTTTAACGTGTCCCGACTCAAGTTGTAGCAGACCAGATGGAGGAACCCGCAATGGGAACGTCACCTATGGTGCTCTGGGTTTGCTTTACTCAACGCCTTGAGAGCCAAGCAAATGGATGGCCATGGTATGAGCAAAATAGAGGCAGCAGACCAGCCAGTTTTTGCTGGGAAAACTCTACCCCACCCCTAATTTGCCATCAGATTTTTTGGCAGCTGCGCCTAGGGGTTGGATTCTCTCAACATGGGACAAACTGGAGAAGAAGATCCCCCCCACCACCAAGATTCGAGAAGCTAAAGTCCCGTATTGTTTCGGAGCTATGGCAAGGGCCGCCATGATCCTTGATGGTCTCGACTCCCCTTGCCGTGGACGCAATTCGCTTCTCAACAGTTGGGATTGGTGGTTTGTCCCGGCTCTCAAATCGGGTTTCCATCCGTGGTGCGACTCGGATTTCGTCCACACGGCTCCGAGGCCTGCGCGTCCCACGTGGTGGGGGAGAAAGATGCCGAGAACGAGGCGGCTAAGGCGGTCTTTGCGGCTGCGCCCTTTGTGGAGGAGCCGCTTTGGGGGCGTTTTGGGGGTGGGTTGGTCAGGGCTCTCGGAACCACTAAATTGGTGCAGGTCAAAACCTGTGCTGGGAACGTAAATACACCACGAATAAGTGTGACACGAGTCACGCTCACCAAGTTGCCAATATGAGGGTTTGCTCACCAAATTCCATGCCAGAAAACACAATGAAGATTGACCGTTGCTCACATGGGTTTGTCTCCATGTCGTTTGTGTCCGTGTCCGTGTCCGTGTCCGTGACCCCGTGTGTGTGTGTGTGTGTGTGTGTGTGTGTGTGTGTGTTTGCTTGTTTGCGTGTTTGCTTGTTTGCTTGTTTCCTTGTTTGCTTGTTTGCTTGTTCCTTGTTTGCTTGTTGGCTTGTTGGCTTGTTGGCTTGTTGGCTTTGTTTGTTTGTTTGTTTGTTTGCTTGTTTGCTTGTTTGTTTGTTTGTTTGTTTGTTTGTTTGTTTGTTTGTTTGTTTGTGTGTTTGTTTTTTGGTTCCGTTTTTTTTGGGTGTTTGTGTTTGTTTGTTTGTTTGTTTGTTTGTTTGTTTGTTTGTTTGTTTGTTTGTTTGTTTGTTTGTTTGTTTGTTTGTTTGTTTGTTTTGCTTGTTTGTTTACTTTGTTTGCTTGTTTGTTTTTTGTTGCATGGATGGATGGATGGATGGATGGATGGATGGATGGATGGATGGATGGATGGATGGATGGATGGATGGATGGATGGATGGATGGATGGATGGATGGATGGATGGATGGATGGATGGATGGATGGATGGATTGATTGATTGATTGATTGATTTATTGATGGATTGGGTTGGGTTGGGTTTGATTTGATTGATTTGATTTGATTTCCCGAAAGCATCGCGAAGGGTTCTTCCGTGCGGAGCCCTTGGACAAGTTAC